TCTGTGTAGATCTTGGTGTACACGCTTTACCTGCGATTTCATTTTCATTCAGCTTTGCAAACTGATTGTACGTTTATGGGTTGTTCGCTGACTAAACCATGTATACCAGTGCATCAGAGTCTCCAAACGTCAGGTTCTAAAAGACACACGTTGACATCTCGATTTTTAGCTAAAAACAAGTCATCAGAAAATGTAGGTCTATACCATAGATTGATTGATAGCATGAAAACAAGTGATACAACTGATATTTTTACTTCGGCCCTTTAAAATAGGATTATTTTGAAGCCTCAGAGAAACTGATGCATCAGTGTATGTGATTAAGTAATCTATAACGACTGGTGTTTTGCTCTTTATTTTTTCTTTTCAATTAGCTTGAACACTGCGTGATATACATCAGAATATGACCGAAGATGAAAGAAACTGATTGCCAGCATCGGTAGACGGGAAAATGGATTCAGTAGTCGTTGGATATATAATCGTAATTCGTTGCAGACAGAAATCATGACCATCTCATATATATATATATATATAAAGTTACGGACACCCAGATAATGCTTCATTCATTATGATGGTACAGAAATGAGGCACGACAAGTGTTTCCTATGCCAAAATATGAGGAATAAAGGATGTCCGCCCAGTGCTTGCTTTACGGATGTTAAATTTCAATATGCGATAAGCGCTTACTCATGAGTAACCGAATTAGTTTCATTAAAAAGGTTCACAGTGTTGAAATGGGCGGTGGTTGTTCTCTGTTCAAGTTGCAACCAACTAACCTTATGAAGTGAATCCAGCATATTTTTCACGTAGTATTCCTCAAACAGAAAAGGAAGTCGGGTTTCAAGCTTATATTAGATTGGCTGTGACATGAGCATCACCGTTAGAGTAAACAAATTGAAAATGAGACAAAGCATTTGATGCATAATGAACTTAGTACTGGAACGAACTGTTAAGCGGTTAACCAAGAAGTGACTTCACCCATCAGGAATCTGTGAATGCAAAGAATAGGCAAACATTGTGATTCAAGGTATCGCTAGTGCAGGCACTTCAGCATAATCTCATCCATGTCCCTCGTACAATAACCCTAACCAAATTCACATTAGGCTCAGCGACAGTCAAGACTGAAACTAAATATCAACGGTTCGGATCATAACTGTTATCCAAACCGAATTTCGAGCTCAGCTACAATGGAAAAATTTACGAAAGCATTTAGAACTACTCCCTTCTGTAGCAAAAATGGATTGTAAGGGGTGTCGGATGGGTATGAAAACTGGAACGACCAGTTATTCGCACCAAAATGACGAAATGTGCTCAGATGTTATGTAGTAATGAAGTCTATGAGATCATCACACATAGCATATTGAAAAGAGTGAAAGGAAACCCGTCAGGTTCTGTTGCTCTTCCTCTATTCAGAGTTTGAAAGGAAAACTATCTTTGCTTCTATAGGAAAACCATATGACTGCCCAAGGAGGCCAGCGTCAGACTAGACAGTTTGGCTTGTGTCAGGACAGTAGAGCTGTTCGTTGAAATAATTTGCCCAGTCATCATCATCATCATCGTACAGCGAAATACAGAGAAGCGAACTTCACTGATCGCTGCCAAACTCGCAATACATATGCATTAGGGTTTGATAGACGGGTACGGATAGGGTGTCCAGCCACTAAGCAGGAGAACGATCAGTGTTCTCAACCAAAGCCTTTANAGAACTTAGCCGCAAGGCAGCGGGTGAAGCGAAGTGGAGGCCCATTTACTTGGAACAATTACACCTTTACCAATTTTTCCGAACGGAAACGCAAATTCTAGTCGAACCCCCAACTTGGAGACTGGACTTCGTTCGACCTTCCAGGCAAGATTAGATCTTCGGCTTGACAAAAGCCATCCTGTTTAGCTCGTTGGGTCAGAGAGGTGCACAAGCCATCATATCACGTCAAAGTGCAGTTTCGTCGTGATGTAGTCAGACCGTTGTCCCTGTTGTGAATAGCTTATCCATTTTTATCGCAGACCATTTCACTAATTGTAGTTCACCGACCTCTGGTAGTGTCAGTTGGAAAATTGACAATTCCCTGATGCAGCGGTTACTTCCATCTGCCTGGCTATTTTCTTCCACCAGTTTTGAGTCTTTTTTCGAATGAGATCAATCACGCTCCGCAGGGAATGCTACTTCCCATTGTTTATTTCGGCTGTTGCAGTAACTTATACTAACCTCAGTTTCCAGTTCGGTCTTGCATTCAAGCTCTGAAGCAAGGAATGGCAGCGGGACCGGATGGGGTCCTTCCCATTATTTTCAAGATGAGGAGTGATAAACTTGCAAGCTCTATTACTACCTTACTTCTGTTGTGGCCTACAACTGACTGATGCATTTGTCATACATGCTGGAGGCCAGATTGGTTGACTGTTCGAATGCCGGCTTAACGGCATATGGATGTTGTGTGAGCCTTCCTTCCTTCCTAGGCGTTGTCCGTTTCTGCTTGCTCCGCGGTCTATGAACCGGATACATACGTGCTGTCCACAATGCACGCGTTAGTCAATTCACTACGTGCTTATCTCTCTACTTAACCTGTGATACGACAACCGTAAAACATTTGGACGCAAGAGCGCATTCCTCCATCTTGCGGTGAACCATTTTCAAGAACGGATCTCGCATGGCTGCGAAAACCACCTTGCAATAAGTTTTATCTTAATCGCGGATGTATTGACCAAAATTTACCTTGCATCAGGTCCTTGAGCTGCATCACACCCATCGCCGAACAACGATCGCAGTGTTCCTTGACCTGAAAAGAACCTTCGACTCAATTGACCGCGAAGCTCTAATGAATTCCCTTCTTCGAAAAAAAGATTGCCTCAGAAGTACGTTAACTTATTGAGGTGACCGTAATCACATCCCTGGTGGAGTCAAAATTTACAACAAACTAAGTGGGTCGTTTGTCAGGGGTGCCCTCTTTAGCCATTCCTGTTTACTTTCATCGTGAACGAAATTACGGAGGACGTTCTAAGTGGTCAAAAAACGTTGGTATTGAATAGAAAGCTGGGAAAAAGCAGTGCGATTTGGAGTAGGCCCATGACATCGTTTGTCTGTTCGAATGTACGGAGGACGCGCAAAGCGCATCTGATAGTCCAAGTGCTACTACAAGATTCGGTATGTAATTAACACCTTCAAAATGATGCTGCAAGACTGTGTTACCTACTCTCGCTTTGGAACTAAATGACCAGGAAGTAGTTCGTATATTGTTTTTCCTATTTGGATAGTTGTGCGGTTAATGACGGTAGCGCATCAAAGGAGATATCCAAAAGCAATCCTAAGGCCCATGAAGCGCACGCAGGACTTTAGCGTGGACTCGACGTTTCACTGAAGTTGAAACGGCGTGCGTCTGCTACCGGTCGTTTAATTTTGTTTTGTGGTTGGAGACTTGGAATTTGTGAGTAGATATCCGTCGACTAGAAGTTTTCGATTATCGGTGTTTACGTAGTTTAGCCCATGTGGGATAGAGCAAACGGGTTAGTAATCTGGAAATAAACCGTCGTGTTTGTGAGTTTATCGGGGATAAATTTGCTAGCTCATCGAATTTAGATTGGTAGACTTCGCCGGCTGGGGCACGTATTGCGTACGCCCAGCTGTCGTCCACCGGACCGCGCTTTATTCGCCCTAGCCACTGGGCTGGAGGAAACCGCAGATGACGTGCAGACGAGGTATGAAGAAATGCACAGAGTCATTAGGTGGAATAGGTGTCTCGCGCCTTCCAGGTCGGGGCTCGAAAGACTTTGAAACTTGTTGGTTGGAGACATTGAAGGATATGGCAGCGAACCGACAGCAGTGCGTCCCTGTTTTCATTTCTTAACAGGCCAGAATGCTTGAAACGGTATGTATGCAGAGTTCCATTGAATACTCTGTGTTGCCCATGGAGAGTTACCTTCCTTCTCCCTCAAAATAGATTCGGTCCCTGTCCACCTTGCATGCATTGCAAGTTTGGCAGCGATCAGTGAATTCCGTTTCACTGTATGATAACGATAAGTGTGATTGGTCAGGATACTTGGCATTATGTTAGTTTATCACTCAACACCAAGTAAACTAACAACTCTCACTGATTATCGCTACAATGATTCCTATTTAGAAACTTAGCATCAGCGATTTACTTACTCATTGGACCTGAACACAGACAGAGGCATCTTATAATTCGATCCTATCCACTTGTCACACTCCGGTTTCACCAACCTTTCTCTCCAGAATCACCAAGCTACGGAACACCCTTCATTCGATTTTTTTAATTTTATTCGAAATTTCCGAGAAACTATTGAACCGATTCCGAGACTATTTTCTTCTATCACCTATTTTTTATGGGTCTTCCAAATTTTGGATTTATCCATTTTGCTGAAACTATACCATAAGATAAGGCGTTAGTTAGATTGTTTTACTCTCAGACTCTAATGTAATACGGTTTACTCTTGAAGAAACCCAAGCGAACATCAATTAAACCAAATTATGAAAAACACCTTGCAAGGCTAGCATAATTTAGCCGCAATGACGGGCAAAGACAAAGATGGACAATTGGACTGAAATGTTTTCATTACACTAAGCTGATCAAAAAATCGGGAGGGGGGGGGGTTGTGCACTTTTTCCAGGATGGGATGAAATCTATAAAGTAGGAAGACTGAGATCGAACCTTGAGGCTCGAATAGGGGAAGGAGAATTCTGAAAACCTAGATCAAAAGTTCATCGCGTGTAAGGAGGAAGATCAAGATAAGCCAAGCTTGAAGATGCGGAACAGCGACGAGACTGTACAACGATAATGGCAGCGCGACAATCGCAGCAAAACGAGAGAAAAAAGGCGCACAAACGGTGTTCGTCAAGAGGGGCAAAGTCACACACAGAGACAAATCAGCGTGCGTGACACTGAGGTGATCATACAGGAAACTGAATAGTGGAGGTAGAGCGAAAAAAATGAATAAAACGAAATCGGCTGTCATGTGTATGAAAGGGTTCTGCGTGGAACCTCAATCTGAGGACATTAAGGTGTCCTAGTACTGGCTGAAGAGTGAGCAATGCTTACAACATTGTCCACGAGGGAGGTATTCTGAGGCATGGCTATTGGTCCATTGGCAGATGTATCTGGGAATTTTTCCAGACGGGGCCGTTTTGAGGCATATTCCGTAGACTGATCGGAACGAGATGTCACGGACACTTTTGAAAGCGGATCCAACAAATCTAAAAGTATAAAAGATATCGGGAGATGACATTGCGCAGTCTGTGAGTGGTACTTTGTGGGGAAATAAGTATCGGAACTACAAAGCAAATAGATGGAGTCGAAGCCGCTTTAAATAATCGGTCTCTTTATACACAGAAGTAGAAAATTGTTGATTTTTATGTCAACTCTGACTTATTCAAACAATTTACTAACCCTGGAGTATTCGTGATAAACAATTTCAGTTTGTTTGTAAATTGGTTGGTTATTAGGGAGCCCCCATTGAAGAGGTCTATGCGGATAACGAGACGGCTGAACTTGTATAGTCAACAGAAGAATTCGCAATGGTTTTGTTCCGTTGTCTCTAAACATGACGAACCAGAAAAATCATTCAACTGTTGCATTAACGTGTAAAAAACATCCTGGAGTAGATTCAATAAAGAATAACTCGTCCGTGACAAAACGAATGTGACACAGATTTTCCCAATCGAAAACTCGCATCCCTAATCGTGACATGAAGCTTGAGACAAATGGATGATGGATATGATTTTTCAGTCGCTTCTTAAACAAACTCCTGAAGCTAACTTCATGCACGTGACAAATCATTTATGAATGCACCCGTTTGCCCCAATAAGCTATTTGTTGCACACTTCCTGTAATGAACCGGACGGGATAAATCCGTAGTCAACAGTAACTAGTGTTCAGCCATAGAAACCGGTAGCATAGGCCTCGTGGTGACAAACCACATAAACCCCACTAGTACAGGAGAGGTATTGAGCCGGATGACAGTGAATCTACCTACTATGGATGGCGGCAGCGGGGTTGGAACCTCAGTGACAACGAATTGAACCGCTTGAGCACCAACCCCCTGGTTCAGATTTTCCCACACTGCAAACCAGATGACTTATGACTTGGGAGTTGAATCAAAAGTGCACATTTACTAAAAGATGAAAGGAGATGAGGAAAAACCTAAAGAAAATCAACTTGAAAATTAACTAGTACGAAATACTACCGGAGTCAGAGCTTAGCGGCAATATAATTAGGCTAATTGTGTAGTACTTACTTGCCATTCCCACGGCATCTTGGAAGGTGTCAAATGGATCACCACCGACGGTGGCACGATACCGATCAGTCTCA